CTTTTGGTAGGATGGCCATTTTGATGATGTTAATTCTCCCAATCCGTGAGCAAGGGATATCTTTCCATTTTGTATTTCTTTTAACAGTGTTTTGTAATTTCCTTTGTATAGGTCTTTTACCTCTTTTGTTAGGTTGATTCCCAGGTATTTGATTTTTTTTGTTTTAATTGAAAAGGGGATGGGTTGTTTTTTTTTTTTTAATTTCTGTTTCTTCTAAAATGTTGTTTGTGTATAGGAAGGCCTCTGATTTTTGTGTGTTGTTTTTATACCCTGCTACCTTGCTAAACTGGTTGATGGTTTTGATTAGTTCCTCTGTGGAGTTTTTAGGGTTTTCTATGTAGTAACATATCATCTGCAAATAAGGTCAGTTTTACTTCTTCTTTCCCTATTTGGATTCCTTGTAAGTCTTTTTCCTATCTTATTGGTCTGGCTAGAACTTCCAGTGTTATGTTGAAGAGCAGTGGCGATAGTGGACACCCTTCTCTTGTTCCTGATCTCAAGGAAAAGGCTTTCAGCTTGTGTCCGTTGAGGATGATATTGGCTGTGGGTTTGTCATATATGGGTTTTATCATGTTGAGGTGTGTTCCTTCTATTCCAAGGATTTCGAGGGCCTTAAACATAAATGGGTGTTGAAGTTTGTCGAATGCCTTCTCTGCATCTGTTGATATGATTATGTGGTTTTTATTTTTCTGTCATTTGATGTGATGGATTTTCTGATGTTGAACCATCCTTGTGTTCCTGGGGTAAAGCCCACTTGGTCATGGTGTATTATTCATGTAATGCATTGTTGTATTCTGTTGGCTAAGATTTTGTTGAGGATTTTTGCATCAGTGTTCATTAAGGAGATTGGTCTGAAGTTTTCTTTTTTGTGTTTTCTTTGTTAGGTTTTGTTAGGTTTTAGGTAGTTTTCCTTCTTTTTTTGATTTTTTGGATAAGTCTGTGTAGGATAGGCACTAGTTCTTTTCTGAATGTTCAGTAAAATTCATTTGTAAATCCATTGGGTCCTGGGCTTTTATTTTGGGGGAGGGTTTTGAATACTTCTTCAATTCCCTTGCTTGTAATTGGTCTGTTTAGTTGTTCTATTTCTTCTTTATCTAGGTTTCACTGGTTGTAGAGTTGTAGGAATTTGTCCATTTTTGTTAACTTGTCCAACTTGTTTACATATAGTTGCTCATAGTATTCTCTGTTAACTTGTCCAACTTGTTTACATATAGTTGCTCATAGTATTCTCTGATTATTCTTTAGATTTCTGCTGGATCTGTTATGATTTCTCCTCTTTCTTTTATGATTCTGTTTATTTGTGTTTTCTCTTGTTTTTTTTCTTTGTGAACGTGGCTAGTGGCCTATCTATCTTGTTTATTTTTTCAAAGAACCAGCTTTTGGTTTCATTGATTTTTTTGGACTATTTTCTTTTTCTTTTTTTTTTTTGGACTGTTTTCTAGCATCCATTTCATTTATTTCTGATTTGACTTTTATTATTTCCTGTCTTCTACTGGCTTTTGGGTTATTTTGTTGTTCTTTTTCCAGATCTTTAAGATGGGACATTAGG